AGTAGTAGTAGTAGTAGTAGTAGTAGTAAGATAGTAGTAGAAGTAGTAGTAGTAAGATAGTAGCAGTAGTAAGATAGTAGTAGTAGTAGTAGTAGTAGTAGTAGTAGTAGTGGTAAGATGGTAGTAGTAGTAGTAGTAGTAGTAGTAGTCGTAGTAGTAGTAGCAGCCAGCTGGACTGTGGTTCTTGGCCAGCCGGCCGGCCGGCCGGCCGGCTGGCTGGCTGATCGAGAAATAGCGGGCCGCGATAAGCTCGCAATGCTGTCCAAGTCCATGAGGTGAGAAAATGGATCCAGGCCCAGTATCCCAATAGCATTGGGTGTGTTTTCCATTGGCTGCCATAGAGACGACGTACGACCTACTTCGCGTTCCCTTTCGTTTTCGGGGGAAGTGACCCGTCACAGGTGGCGTGGCATCGAGAAGATCGAGGCATGGCATTCGTCCTTCCTCCATGCTGCTCAGGTAAGACATGGAAGCATGGCATTTGCTGGCGGAGCTTGTCCTTCAGCCTAGGTCGTCAACTGCAAGAGCAGAATGGGCAAAGTGAAGAACGCAAGCCGCCAGCACGAGAAAAAGACGTTCACTCGGCTGGTAAACAAAGCCAAGGGCGTGATGAGCCAAAACTCAGCAAACAACGTACAACTTGAAACGCAGCTCTCGGGCAGCTTTGAAAAAACGGAGTTGGGTCCACGAACGCGCTCGGATCCTGTGGCTCTTGGATTCAGACTTGCTCTTCAATCTCTTTTCTGGCTCTTCCTTTTCAGCTGGCTTCTCATGCTTGTGCCTCAACACGCCGCACGTGCGGCACAAAACGGCGTGTGAACCAGCTTCCGGTCCAAGCTCCGGGCTCCGGTCCGAAGAGTCCACGGTGAACACCCGGCAGCCAAGCACATGAAGCACTATATGGTGTTCAGTTGGGAGGTTCGAATGGCTGGCAGCATCTGGCAGCTATTTTTCAGACATCCACTGGGTGTAACTATCAACACGATATAAGCAGAAATCAACACGAATGGTGTTCAGTTCGTTGCATAGTAGATACAGTTGTGTATTTTTGTATCGTTCAGGAATCTTTCGGGAATCTGGTACCCACCCGTCTTCCGTTTGCTGCAGGCTTTGCTATTGACTCACCTGCCCATCATATCCCCAAGAAGAATCGGTGGCCCGTCGTATCTCTAGAGCCGGCTGTTTGCTATCCCCGCAGAGAAGCTGACGTAAACCCAAGCAAGCAAACCAACTCTCCGGTTTGGTACCCGAACATGTGCTGCAAACCATCACCTCAACCACCGCACTGACCTCACCTGCGCTGACCTCGAAATCGGCCCATCACCGGTGAATCGAACTGTCCTCTTGGTGTTTCGTGGAGAGTCCGAAACAGCCCAAGGGATCCCACTCTTCAGAGTCCTACCGCTGCGCTTTTTCTCCCAGCTGCCGCGCTGTGCTTGGGCCCCGGCTGCGGGTTCCAGTCGGGAATCTTCAGGGTCGGCGCCTCCCCTGGAGCGAGTGTGAGTGACTCTCCCAGTCGAGCCCGGTGCGGAGCGGACCTCGGATCTCCTGGAGGGAATTTTCTCAATCCCGGGGGTTGGAAGAGGTCCAAGCGGTTTGAAGGATGCCCCCATGCTTTTTTAGACCGAAGATGGAGCTCGAAAACCACGGTGCTTGGAGGGGAAGAAGAACATCTTTCGCTATTCTCAGGGGTCCATGTTTCCATGTTAGTTTGGAGTTCTGATGAAGCTGGAGGCACTTGTGCTTCTGGAGATCTCTGTAGAAAGTGGCATGGTCAACGACCCAACTTGTCACCAATCCCACCGAACGGTTTAAGGGTTTAAGGGTTATCTTGATAACAGTTTATAGTTATCCACTGGCTGGGTAAGCGTGTGGCATGGTCAACAGTGTCAAATTCGCTTTCTGTCGGTTTGTTGACCATCGCCCGGATGCCTCGAATGCCCCACCAATCTGCATGAAACTGATTAGTAACATGACCTCAAAAGTATACCATGCTTTGACTGTCCGGGGTCCTGTTTGCCGCCACTACGAGGGGTCCATCGTCCTGTCAGGTCTGAGAGAAGAGACGCACCATGACGCACCCCAAAACCATCCAAACAACTGCACACGGAATTCCCAGCATCGTTGCTGTACCTTGTTCCGACTGGAACTCAAACCAGTCATTTCCAAAATACACCCGGCTGCCTTTGCCTGAATAAAGAAACCGTGTTAATCCATTTTACAGCAATAGCCCCCTAGACTTCCAAGACCATTAAAAATATGGTTAACCTGGTGTTTGTAGGGTACAATCCTTAGTTACGTTGATTCGGTAAAGCCTATATTAATTAATTAATGGTGGTTGGAAGCCTAGGGAGGCACTAGCCAACAAAATCCAAGCAGTCAATTGGATGGCAGCTTGAAACTGGGAGGGTTGCATGAAGAAGAAACATCTTTTGAAAAGTAAAAAAACAAACTAGCCTTCAGTTCGACCATTAAAAGACTGGTTCATCTGGTGATTCTAGTCTAAAATCCGTCGAAAAGCAACGGTTTTCTGGGATTCAGACCATGAAAACCACGACCAAATCCGAACCAATCGAACCAATCCGAACCAATCCGAACGCCCGCACTGCGGTCAGCCGCACCGTTTCAGTTTCGATTGACCTCCACGGGTGAACCGTCGTTGCCTGGGGCGGTCTTCACCCGACTGGGCGGTGCCTGAGATCGATGAGATCGCCAGCAGAACGAAGTGCGGGTGTTGGTAGAGATATTCATGCTGGGTGAGTTCAACGAAATAAAAACATATGTTGTTGGTGGCGGGTTTAATCAAAGATGGTTCAATCACACTGGAAGTTCATTGAAGTTTTGCCACTGTCACTGACAAATTTGGTCGCTTCCACTGCCAATTGCTTGGTGGATTGCATGGCAGAGAAGACGACGCGATCCTGGCACTCCTTGAGAAACCACCAGTGAAGCTTCACTGTGTATGTAGCAGCTTGTGCCCGCCGAGTTGCGGGTCCCGAGTGGCGGTTCGACGGAGCGCTGGCATGGTAGTGCTCTTCGTCGGACGCTTCCTTTTCAAAGCGCAGACAGTCGGACGGTGTTGAGTAGAATTTGACTAGTACTTCGACTGACTTCTATATAGAAAAGCCAGCTATGCAGCTAAGATTGTTCATGTGTCCACGTTCGAGATTCCCTTGGATGAGGCATGGCAAGGATACTGTTGATGAGAGAATAGATCGCTGTCGGGTGAGAATGGATGAAGGGAGATACTTTCTTCAACAAAATACATGCGTAGGAAGATCCTGGGGTTCCAACGGTTGGCCAGCGCCCATGTCGGTGGGTGTCCATGACCCTTGCAGCCCTTGCACATACAACCCCACACCTTTTTCATTCACTAACTGCAGTTCACTTAGCATGCACCAGCGCAAGTGGGTCATAGGCTGTCACTGCCGTAGCGCTGTCAGGAGCATGAGAGAGACCTGCGCGTCACTCACTCTGAGAGAGACCATTTCTCGGCACGCGCTGGTCTCCCCCCATCGGCGTCACCCACCTGAGCTCACGAAGAAGTGGTCAGGAAGGACCTTTTTGGGATTTGATTTGATGAGTCCAGGCAGTCCAAGTATACACCGTTGCAAGATCCAGGTATTATTATTACCCTTGAACTTCCCAACTTTTTGCGAAACCTGTGTCTTTCTATCGGATCTCTGACCGTATGTCACACAGATGTTCACAGACTTTGCCTTCAAACGTCCGAAGCAAAAAGACGCAGAATCGGTTCGGCTGCATGTCGTGTTAGCTCGCTGTGAAGAAGATTGGAGGGATCTAGTTACGCCAAAGTTCCACTTAGGCTACCTCATGACCTCATCAATACTTAGTTACCTCATCAATCAAAGACCTCATCAAATGACATCTGGTCTTAGACCTCATGACCTCATGACCTCAGAGCGGCATGGTGGCGCCAAGAAGCCGAAGCCGTGCACCGGAGTCTCGATGCGCGTTGAGAAGCAGTCCTGGTTCGGATTGGGACATTCCCCGACAGAAACGGGTCTGTTCTCCTGGTTCTTCAAAGTGACGTCCTTGATATCCTAGTTCTCACTTTGAAGAAGCTGGCTTTTCAATGTCGGAAGCGCAAACCTTTTGGAGTGGACCTTCCCGCGCGCGCGGGCGCACACGCACAGGCACACGCACGATCACGGCTTGGCTTTACTGCATCCAATCGCCGAAAACCGACCCCCTCCTCCATTGGGGCACCACAACCAGCGCCAGTCCGCTCCCTTCGCCGGTCCGCGGCGGAAGCGGTTCCGGTTCCGCCGGCGAACGCTCTGCAGAACCGACCGGCGCTCAAGTGGGGCAGCCGAAGAGCTCTCGTGTGCGACTGCTGAGCAGCAAGGCCTCGAAGGCGGCATCCGCGAGCAGGATGAAGTGCCGCCAACCGGGCGTCCGGCGCAACTCCGCTCGCAGGTGGCTCCTGAAGGGGTGGAGGGAACAGTCCAACACCTAATCATCCGAACATCATCTCCAAACGGCCATCCAGGTGACTCGATGGTTTGCAGGCAATTCGGTCTATGTCTCTGGTCTTTGGAACCTGTGAGAGGAAGAAATCCATCCACTGATATCCACTGCATGGACTGGATGGAATCGACAAGGACATATACAAACCTCCGTGCATTCAAAAGCAGTGGTCAGCAACTGACCGCTCTCCTCTCCACTGTCGAGGCCACATGTGTCGTGGCTCTGTATTGAAAGCTCTTCTCATCCTCACTCCGCGGCCCCGTGCAGTGCTCGCCGCGCAGCAGCGCCTCGCGACAGCTCTGGAGCACCTCGGGCGACATGCCCTGGGACTCCTGGCAGTGTCGCGCCGGGCGCACAGCCGGGCGCGGTGTCGCCGGTGTCGCCGGTGTCGTGGTGCAGAGACAGGGTCTCCGGGGGCGCCAAGATCGAGGGCCCCTCCAAGGAGCCATGTGTTCTGTGGCGGACGGAGCTGTTTTTTCTGGTGAGAATGGATGAAAACGGATTTGAAAGAGGAACTTTCCAGCTGTTCGTTCTTAGTGGGGAAACCCATCCGGAAAGGTTAAAGGTTCTTCATTGAAGTTTATCCGCTGACTGGGTGTTCTGTGCTGTTCTGTGGCCGTTTTGATGACAGCTCCTTTTCTTCACAGTGCGCAACAGCCATCTCAAAGAAATGGTGGTCAAAAGGAAGCCAAGCGTGTGTTTGTGCTAAGGAGAAGAAGACTTGTCAAAGCGGCTTCGTGGAGTTTACGTCTCGTCCTCCAAAAAGCGCTCCAGGTCGGCTGAAAACTGTTGCTCCGGTATCTGGTCTGGTTTCTGGTCGAAGAAGAAGCGGGCAATGCAGCGCAGGGTGCCGTTGAAGTCGTGGTGGAAGCTCTCCATAGGGACCTGGAGCACGTGATCCAAGCTTTGCCACGCCTGGTGGGGCTGACAGTGTGACCCACTGGTGGGGACCGTGTGACCGGGGGCGTCGTATGATTCACTCAGTCACTGCGTGGCCGGTGCAGGGAATGAGGCCGATCCAGGGTCACCAACCTGCACTCATTCCCTCATTCCCTGCACGAAGCCGCGTGGATGCACCCAACCACGAAACAACGGACGACACGAAGGGTGATCAGCAAATAGATAGAAACGGTTTCCAATACTTTTAAGCGGTGATCTACTTTTGGTTTATATATAGGCTTCCAACCACCGGTCATTTCATGGTTTCTGCATGTTTCTACCGAACGACCAGGGTTTACTATATAAGGATTTGACCCTGCAAAACCACAAATCCAGGTCTTTGTTCATATATAAGACCCCCAAATAGATATGAAAGTATATAGATCATGAAAACCGTTTCTATCTATTTGGGGATCCCTATAATGGTTTTTGGACTTCCAGGCGCGTTTGCTGGTCTCTGGAAGCAAGGGGATTGGAGCTGTCGCGTTTTCAGCTGGTGCTGACACAGCTGGATGGGCCCCCACCTTCGGCTTAGGATTTCAAACCAGCCAAAATAATTCATTGACCGTCATTGACCGCCAGTTGCGATCAATGTTGATTCTTGTGTCTCTTCACCCAAACATTTGGAAAGCTTCTTTCGACTCTCCTGGTTGAAAAAAGTTCCTGCGCCTGGGCGTTTTCCAGCATCTTCACAATGTCCCAGCGGCTTCTTAGATACTCGGCTTGCAAACCCTGCCTTGCAGTGACGTTCTGAAGAAGCTCGTTGTAGCTGCATCTGAAGCCACAGAGTTGAAAAATCTCAAACCAGGCTTCATGATCACAACTCAAACAGTCAGGCGGGTTCCGGAATTTCAACCATTCTTCACCGGCACTTAAGTCTTGTCGATGATATCGATAGCCTGAAAGGATCATATCTGAGGGCCTTCGAACCAAATGCAACACTTGGCCAGCTCCTTCGCTCAAGAAGTGTTGAAACTGGGGCGCCTCGGACTTCAAGGGGTTGGAAAAGTGGATGATCATATCACTCGTCTTCGTATCACTGAAGGTTCGTGTAAAGGATTGGAAGAAGGGGCTGATCACGGGCCGTCCGCCCCTCAGGCTGTTGTGGTTCCCGAACTTCGTCACCTAGGAGGGAGACTGAAACCCGTTCCGGTTCCGTCCCTAAAACCACTGTGACCACGAAGGGTGAATGGCTATTTTCTGGTTCTGTAGTCTAAAACAATTGGTAACATTGAGTAACACAACATGGTGGCTTGATGTTGTTTGGTAAAGACAATTAACTCAGGATCCTTTTGGAAAAGCCCATCCTTCGAGGGTCGTGCCGCCCACTGGGCCCGGTGTTGGGTCCATCAAAGCACCAGTGAAAAACATCCACATCTAGAGTCTGACTTGAGGGTGAACAGCCATGATGGCCATGATTCCATCCTAACTTGGACAGCTGAGCTCTCATTCTCCTGCCTAGAAAACATCCAACCCCTGCATCTGGTCATTTGGCTGGTCCCTCATGTCCCCTGCAGGTGCTGATTCATCCATATTACAGCTGTAATTACTTGTATTTTTTTGCCCTAGTGCTCCAAGTACCTCCACAGAAGGTATTTGGATCCTCCAAACTCACCCCAAACACTTTGGACACGACGGTGCGGCTGGAGTCCTAGGATTGATCTGATGTTGCCATACAGGTCACCTGGAAGTCATGTGGCACCATGACCGTCTCCTCCGGATTCTTCAACAAGAACCGGGTCAAGGGCCCCGGTGCCACATTCCCCACCAGCTCAGTGGACAAACTGACACCCGATTTGTGATATGCCATGATGCTCTTCACGTGACTCTCAAATGCTATTGGCGGCTCGTCAATGCTCTGGGTGCTTTCAAAGATGCTCCAAGCGAGGGTCCTCCAAAAGCCCGCAAAGTAGGAGCTCTTCGAAGGCCCTTGGGACAAATGATGAGCACAGCAAATCCGCACGGGCCAGGAGGGCCATTCTGGGAAGCACTGCTCGTTGCCCAGAGAGTCAAACTTCGTAGGTTCGCAGCAATCATTCACAAAGTCAAACTCATCCATGTTCCTGGATTCATTCTTGATTTGCAGGAACTGTGGTGCTGCCTCGCAAAAGCTCGGGTCGAGCTCCTCGAGCCTCAAGTCCTCTGGCTCCTCAGCCCTACGCTCGCGTGCGTACCGCCGCGTGACCAGCGCCGCGTGACGTGCCGCCGCGGCCGACGCCAGGCGATAGCGATGCAACTTCGGATCGGCCAAGGCGGTGACGTTGCCGGTGATGGTGAGGAACTGCTCGGAGATCAGTGAGACCAAACGTTCAGTGTTTGGAACCACCTGGCGCCAGAGCCAGGAAGAGTCAATTGCGAGAAGCCGTTGAGACTGACCAAAATCATGGAAGAATCGAATTTTAACAGAAAACCACCCCGACCACCTCAGTTGAGGCCAGGCTCCAAAAACCCAATGCCAAAGGAAAGGGGCCATGGCGCATCGCAGGGCAGAAGAGAGGGCCGATTCGCCGGATGATGAGAACGCCGGACAGCCTCTCCCCTTTCTAAACCATCCCCTTTCTAATCCCCATGTCAGGCAGACCAGTCGTTGTCCCAAGCGGTGGCTGGGTTTGGTGAAGCTTGAAGAACACATGAAGCTTCAGGGTTGAAAAACCTAGATACGCCAAGTAGGTCATCAAATAATTACTGTACACCAATTCATCCGTAGTTGAGACGAGTGAAAAGACTGAGCCGATCGGCTCTGGCGCAATCGAACAGAATTCAGAATCCATGACGCATCGGAGGACGTATATCTTGTCTCAAAATTAACAAGCTACTAGGAACAAGTGCATCGCTTCTAGTAACAAGTGCCTTACTAATAATAACAGGCGCCTTACTAGTAGCAGGTGCCTTACTAGTAGTAACAAGAAGCTAGTCAGTGCTGGTACTCCGAGACACTGAAGACATTGTCGGTGGAGAATCTCGATGAGCTCTTCGGATTGATTGAACACTTGTCATGTGAACATCCGAGAAATGGTCTCCATCTCCGTGGCCATGAGAAAAGATATCACAAGAAATGTCCATCTCCGTGGCCATGAGAAAAGATATCACCGAGGCCGATATCCAACACTCATCGGGAGAACCCCCCCTCTTCAACCTTCGCTGGGCGTTCCACACACAGAGGCCGCCCACTTGTCGCCTGGCCGATCCGATGTACTAGGAGTATCCGTAGTCTGGGTGTCCGATAGAGATCTGAGAAGTGTAGGATAGGGTAGCCCGAGGCTTCCAACAACCATTCATTTAATAGGCTGAATCCCGAATCAACTAAGGATTTTACACTACGAAAACCAGGTCGTTCCCATTTTTGGGGGGGTCTTGGAAGTCTAGGGGTAGGGAAGTCCAGCCAGGACACCCAGGTCTGAATGCTCCTCTTTTTCATTGGTCCTCTCCATGTGTCGTGGAGTCGTGGCCCTCTCCAAACCCAAACAGCCTAAACCCTAACCCGAGGCTCGGACCAGCCGGAGTGTGTCAAACAATGGTACCACAGACCTAGACCCGGAGACCTCGCGTCCTTCGAAGCGAAGGCACCGAACGAGAATCGGTTGGTGTCCCACGTCTGAAATGAACGCTGCCACGGGCTGCCACTGTCTGTGGGATCCCACCAAGTGAGAGAAGGGTTCTAGAGGAGAAATCAGGCCAACAAGACTCCAAACCATGGCTCCACCAGCCAACTTCCCTCGATGGCCAGCTCCCTTGATGAAGCCGAGCTGCTCCAACAAGCGTGGTCGACGGTTCTGGCAGCGGTAAAATGGAGGGAGTCGCATGTGAGGGACTAAAATGAGTCATGCTCAACCCAGCAACAGCATGCCCCATGCATGCTGAAAACTGTAGAAACCACATGGAACTACCAACATCAGAATCTAGTCACGGGCCCAAGGTCCACTTCTGATGAGAAGCAAGCAAAGGCTAATCACAAAGTCACGCAGCAAGTGTGCAAGCGCAGAGCACATAACAAACGATCGATTGCAATTTATTACAAGCACTAGTATAATAAAATTACAAGTATATTGATGCGGTTGAAGCTACTATCACGTTTGGCAGTCCGTCTGATAGCTTTATTGGGATTGATTTTTGCGACCCTGTCGAGTGACGAAAGGATGCAAAAACAAAACACTTTTGTACCCTTGTGACTCGTAGCTTCTTGCTACTAGTGGTAATGGCCTCCAACCCAATAGCGATGGCCTCCACCTACTAGCTTCTTGCTACTCGTAGTAATGGCCTCCAACCTAATAGCGATGCCCTCCACCTACTAGCTTCTTGCTACTAGTAGTAATGGCCTCCAACCTTAATAGGGATGGCCTCCACCTACTAGCGTAGTAATGGCCTTCAACCTGATAGCAATGGTCTCCACCTACTGGCTTCTTGCTACTAGTAGCGATGGCCTCCAACCTAATAGCGAGGGCCTCCACCTACTAGCTTCTTGCTACTAGTAGTAATGGCCTCCAACCTAATAGCGATGCCCTCCACCTAGTAGTAGTGGCCTCCAACCTTAATAGGGATGGCCTCCACCTACTAGCGTAGTAATGGCCTTCAACCTGATAGCAATGCCCTCCACCTACTGGCTCCTTGCTACTAGCAGCGATGGCCTCCAACCTAATAGCGATGGCCTCCACCTACTAGCTTCTTGCTACTAGTGATGGCCTCCACCTACTATAGTAACAGTAATGGCCTCCAACCTAAGAGCGATGGCCTCCACCTACTATAGCTTCTTGCTATTTAGTAGCGATGGCCTCCAAGCTAATAGGTGATGGCCTCCACCTACTAGCTTCATGCTACTCCTAATAGCAATGGCCTCCACCTACTAGCTTCTTGCTACTCTTTTTGGCGATGGCCTCCACCTACTAGCTTCTTGCTGCTAGTAGTGATGGCCTCCAACCTAATAGCGATGGCTCCACCTACTAGTTTCTTGTTGCTGTAGCGATGGCCTCCAACCTAATAGCGATGGCCTCCACCTACTGAATTCTTGCTACTAGTAGCGATGGCCTCCAACATTATAGCGAAGGCCTCCACTTACTATACCTCCTTGCTACTAGTAACCTTTCTTTGCGGCCTTCATCGTCACCTGTCCCGGAAATCCGAGATCCCCGACGGCCGCGGGCAGCCATGGCCGGTCGAGATTGAAGCGTGGCTCCCGCGAGATGCTTTCCTGCACCTGACCCGCAGCTGACCGATGCCACAGCCACAGCTGCTACAGCTGCTTTTCAGCTGCAGCTGCAGAGTCTAAGGACTGCCCGCCATGGAATGTTTGCTCGCGAACAGTGTACATGTTCCCTCTCCTTTCGGGGGTGATTGAAGGACGGTCGTAAATGTCATCTGCTCCAATCGCCTTGGGTTTCTGCGGATTGCTCCAGGCTGCTGCAGCATCAGCCGCCTGGGTGTTGGGCGGGAGATGCGCACCACAAGACGCGGAAAACACGACAGGTGTTGTATGGGTTTCCCACATGCTTTCACCACTGGGGAAGGGAGAGAGAAAAACAGAAAAAGACAGCTGAGGCATGCTGAGGCTACAGTCCTTGGGCTGCTGTTCTCCTTTGGGGAGAATGGCCAGCCCTCGAGGGAGGAGTGTGAGCCAGGAGGCAAGCAGGGGGTGCCAGTTTGGGGAGAGGGTGATGTTTTTAGCCCCTTTGCATGGAATCTTGCATGTAGTCTCTCTCTCTCTCTCCGCCTTTCTCTCTCTCTCTCTCTCTCTTCTCTCTTCTCTTCTCTTACCTTCCCTTTTCTTTGGCCCAAACATGCAAGAAATGCCTCTTCTGGGGAGCCAGAGCTCTCTGTCCCAGGGAGGGGGAGAAACAAATAGACCAAGAGACCAAGAGTTGTTTGATTTGAACGTGGTTGTTTGGTTTGAAAAGTGTTGTTTGATCTGAAACTACTCTAAATAAACTCGTTTGGTCTGTTTCTCTTCTCTTCACTTCTTGTCACTGGTCCTCTGAGTCCTGGCAAGTTCAAACAGCAGAACACACAAGTTCAAGCACACAGCTGAGAACCCCAAGAAAGGACAAACACATCGGGATCCCTCGAGGGATCGGATGCTTTTCGGGGCATATGTCCGGGACATCCAAGGATGAAGGGTCCAAAACTGACGGGTTAAACGGACTGTTAAACGGCCACCATCTGTCTTACATGTTGGAAGTGGTGCGGATCACATCGAAGTTTGGGCCACTATACAGTAGCTTTGTGAGCGCAAACCCTCCCCCCCACAGATTCCCAGCCGCATGCATTGCGTTCGGTGTGGGGGCGTCCTAAACCACCGGCCGCCGTGACGCCCGCGCGTTTGGCCGCTCCAGGCGCCCCCGGCATCGATCTCGTCCAGATCGCCAAGGGGAGGCCTCACGCCGGCGAGCTTCAACACGGGGAAGCGCTCCAAGGTGGGCGCCAAGTTCCTCCGGAGACGCGCGGCGGCGCGAATGCGGGCGGCGTGAATGCGGAACTGGAGGCGCGAGCGCAGAGAGGCGGCGGCGGTTTGGGGGCTGTGATGGGAAGAGAAAAGGTGTTACGATCTTCTGGAACCACATGGAGAGCAGAGATGAGCGGAGACGGGGTGTGTTTTTAGTTGGGCAAGATCAAGTGAGTCCAAGGGGGGCTGTTGGAGGGAAAGAACTTGGTGAAGTGAGAAGTGAGAAAGATCTACACCCATCTTAAGGTCAAGATCTACACCCATCGGTGTAGAGTGAATGAGTTTGAATGACAACCACGGTCGTCTTCCATTTCGCTCCATGCGGTTCCATCGCCCGGGTTCCATGTGGGTCTCGGGGCCCGGGTGTGGACAATGTCCTGTAAATAGACTTAAATAGGATACAGTAGAAACGAACGAAAAACAGACCAGGAAATAGAATAACAGACTGTTAACAGACCAGGGGGTCTGTTATTCTATTCTACTTCTACTGTTAACTGGTTCTTCTATAAGTTTTGAAATCGACCCCCAGCCAAAAGACAATGCATTCTCCCATGACCCCAGGAGGACCCCACCACCACCTCCGCGAAAGGCTGGTGTTGACAAGGGTTTTATCTCGGTCAATCAATTATCAATGGTGCTTGGAATGCTGTGGTGCTTTTTTTCGGTCACCCACGGGCCTCCTTCGCGCCACGTCTGCGCAGTTGGCACGACTGATGAACTCGATGCCCGGGAAGCCAAATTGCGAGGACCTCGGTGGAGCAAAGACCGGGTCTGAGGACCTCGGGTGGAGCGAAGAACATCGTCCAAAGCGAAGAAGCAGACGGCTGAGAAGGAGAAGCCAACACGGCTGACGCAACCGAAGCTGACTGGAAGAAGGAGGGAAAGACAAATGAACAAACCATCTGAGGGATTGATGCAAACAATCATCAGGTTAAACTGTTGCCACACACAGGGACCCCATCAGGATCCCTAGAAAGTGCTTGCAGTATCTTGCTGGGTGGCAAAATCACCCCTGAAAGGCTTCTAGACGTGTGATAGCACCTTCGCCTTCCTCACCTGTCATTCCATCCAAACCCACTGGTCATGTCCATGCAAACCCACTCGTCAACCGTCAAA